ATTATATTATTTGGTCAACTTATAAATTACCTTGTTGGTAATTAATTATTGGAGAATTGTTTTCCTATTTGTTTCTTACTTTGATGGAAATTGGATATTAAGTTACTAAAAGGAAAACTGGTCGTCTTTCTGCCATTATAAAAGTGCATATATCTCATCAATTATGTACACTAATAAAAATAACACGTATAATGTTTATGTGTGCAAAAGGCTAAGAGAGATAAATCAGTTTCTACGTTTTGCCTATTGTTTGGAGTTGCAGCTTAGTTCGTTGTTAAAAGATCTCAACGTTGGACTTGATCTCAACAAGGTTTGCTATCACAGATCGAGGTATTTATATTTAACTATATTTATGCATTATAGCAATATGAAGATAATGAAATTCTAAGATCTTGGGATTCATGTTTATTTGTAAGTAATGATTTGCACGAATAATTAAAGTTTACATGTGGTATCAGAGCTTACGGTTTATGAACTCGTTATCTTCATTTAATGTTGCATAAATAAAATTAAATAATTAAATAATATATTCTCTTGAATTGGTGTATACATAGGCGCATAAATATGGGTATTGATTCATGTGCATGATGAATTAGTACGATGGATCAGTGTAGGTGCATGCTGGATTAGTATAATTGATCAGTTTAGTGAATTTATTTTGGTTTACGTGCATCAATTTCCGAGCCTGTATTTTGATTTCCATAAATTGATTTCTTAGCCTTATTGAATTGCATAGTTGAATTATATATATGTGATTAATTCTTGATTTTCATGCATAGTTTAATATAAGCTAATGACAGAGTCACATTTAGTACTTGACACGGAATTATAGAATAATCATATATGTCAAATTAATGGTTATGAAAGTTAAGTTTGTTATGTACATGATTAAATAATTTTATGAATTGATTTTTTTTATTAGAAATTAGAAAAACTTCAAATATGTTTTACAACTTGGCTTGGAAGGATCGATTGAAACACTTTTGTACCATCAATAGAAACATGGGATACATATATGACACGATTATATTAATATATAAAATTTTTAAAAAATAAGATACATGTTTGACCTTCGACACGTACAACGATAAAGTGTGCTTCTGCGAGTGTGGACCACTTGACTGAAGTTGACTAGGATAATGAAATTTGCTAGCACAGAGTTACACAAGCAAGCAAAATTTCAAATATGTTTTACAACTTGGCTTGGATGGATCAATTGAAACACTGATGTAGCATTAATAGAAACATGGGATACAGATATGGTACGGTTATATTGATATATAAAATTTTTAAAAAATAAGATACAGGTATGACCTTCGACACGACGATAAAGTGTGCTTTTGCGAGTGTGGACCACTTGACTGAAGTTGACTAGGATAATGAAATTTGCTAGCACAGAGTTACACAAGCAAGCAAAACTTCAAATATGTTTTACAACTTGGCTTCGATGGATTGATTGAAACACTTATGTAGCATCAGTAGAAACATGGAATACGGATATGACACGGTTATATTGATATATAAATTTTAAAAAAAAATAAGATATAGGTATGACCTTCGACACAATGATAAAGAGTGCTTCTACGAGTGTGGACCACTTGACTGAAGTTGACTAGGGTAATGAAATTTGCTAGCACGGAGTTACACAAGCATGCAAAACTTCAAATATGTTTTACAACTTGGCTTGAATGGATTGATTGAAACACTTATGTAGCATCAATAGAAACATGGGATATGGAAATGACACGGTTATATTGATATATAAAATTTTAAAAATATAATCTACATGTACGACCTTCGACACGACTATATATAAATATGATTATATATATATATATATATACATATATTGAATAATAGCATTATAAAATTTTAATTCATTTATATATATATAAATACATATAAATAGGATAGGCTTGTGTTTGAAGTTTTGAAAAGTGTCGGTGAAGTATCTCAAAGTGCCGTGGAAATGTATCCATGCCAGAATCACACGTGTCCGTAATAAAAAATTATTTTTATTACGGACACGTATATGAAGTGTCGAACACGTGTCCGACAAGTGTCGGGGTTCGACACGGACACAACACAAGTACGACTCCTTTATATAAGTATCCGTGCTTTATAGATTGAAACTCATCTTTATTTTTTATATTTTAAATAATAATATTAATAATATGTTTTTACAATTATAGTTAAAATTTAATAAAAAAATATTTGAATTTAATCTAGGTACATTGTGGGCAATGATTCTAGCTTGACTTATATATTATTTTGAATGAAAATTTAAATGTGAATGAGTTAGTTTAAAATGCTACCTATCATGAAATGAAGTCGGGTTGATTCCTCAACAATCTATCATGAGTGAATAAATTCGGGTTCATCTTCCCAAATAATGTGAACCCCCCAACTATAAGTGAATGGATCAGGAATCCATCACTTGCATAAGAGAACAACCCTTATACATGTGAATCATAGTTACAAGTGAATGAATGCCACACATGTGAGCATGCACATGTGAGGGTTGTGGACCCTCGGATACGTACATATCTTATCTCAAATTGAAATTAGATGGTCTCATTTGTTGTAAAAAGAAAAAAAAAAACTTAGATTAATTTGAGTATTGCTAATAATATAATTTTTAAAGTAAATGGATCACAAAAATGCAGGAAAGGTTTAAGGAAAATATATCCAAAGCGGTGTTCGTGTTGGAATTGTTTGGAGAAGCATGTTCTACTACTCAACTCTGGACCAATGAATATGTTTGTGATTTCTTTCCATGTTTCAAAGGGGTTAGATGAGATAGGAATAAAGAGGAATTAAAGATTAATTTGTTTTATTTTGATGGCCATATTTAAGAAGAGGTTAGGAACTAAAGGCAAAAAGAGCCTTATTATTGTACCCAAAAAAAAAAAAAAACTATATATTAGTTACACAAATTTGATGTCAGAGCAAAAAAAAAAAAAAAGGTATCAGAGCATTAGGAGCTCCTTTTTTTTTTTTTGGGTCATAGTTTTCAAGAATATTATTAAGAAAAAGAGAGTAATTTTTAGACAAATTATAAAAGAATGTCATTTAGAATTAGACCTCTTCCCAAATACGAAACCAAATACGAGAGAGTGCTTATTGGCAAATGTTTTCAAACCAATTTTCTCTTTTCTATTTTTAGAATAAAAACTATTCTTAAAAAAATGAACTTAATTTTGTACCTCTATTTAGTTTGGAAAAACACTGAAATGCAATTAATGTTTTTTAACCACCAAAAAACAATAATAATAAAATAAAAAAATTGAAATGATTGAATTAAGTTTAAATTTTTTTATTGTCTGCCCTTTCTCTCTGGTGATTCATCCAATTTATTATCACACCCACTCCTCTCTTAGCTTGATCACTTTCTCTCTATTTCAACTCCGATCATTTTCTCTGTACTTACAAAAAGATTTTCTATCTAGTCCCTTACTTGGATATTTATATATATTATATATATATATATATATATATATATATATATATATATATAAATTCATATAATCCCTCCTAAAATTTTTATTTTCTAAAATTATCTCTTACATTTTGTATTTTTTTCTCTTTTTTATTCTTTAAACTTGTTTAATTTTCTTTTAAAATAGTCAAAATTTTCTTTTTGAATCAAACTCCATTTTTTTTTCCCGTAATTTTTCTTATTTGTTTCTTGATTTATAGAATTTATATTTATTATCGTGATTATTGATTTTTTTTTTTTTTTTTTACACTATGCTCCCCCTAAATTTAATTTCTGGCTCCGCCCCTGCTTTTACAGTGTAACATTTGCATACAAACAGATTTAAAATCTAATATTTAAAAGCAGATTTATACTTTTGACCACCTTCTACTATTTTAAACTATTACTTGAGCTGCGAAATTTCTTTTAAAAACTCCAGTAATTTACTTGCTCTCCGCATATCATTTATTCTCCACTATTTTCTTAAATGGAAACTATTTTCACAATTTGCTTTGTCTTTTAGATTCTTTTTATCAATATTTACTTTGTATCCATTGCTGGATTGGTTGCTGCAAAAGAAACAAATGTTTGTTTGGCATTGGAGCAAACTATATCAAAGATATATGCATTAGGAAGAAAAACCAATTCCCTCGTCATACATTTGGCTTGAAGCACATCACATCTTGCTAACCAAACAGACCCTTAAAATTTTAGCTTTTTTTATAATGGATGTTTGTTAAACAGTGACAAGTGCCTCGATCCAGATATAGGGTCGGCCCTGGGCCTAGATTGCTCATGAGGTCACCTAGGGCCTCCAAAACTGGATGGCCTCAAATTTAGACCCATTCTGTATATTTTCCCTATTGGGCTATTTTTTTGCTTATTAACTTCTTTTTCAGTCTTGGGCAAGTTGGGCTGTAACACAGTTGAAGCCCAACAGACTTTGGGCCTCAAACTTGGCTAGCAACCAAAAGATACTTGGAGTCTCACACATTGGAACAATAAGAAGTGCTGACTGCTGAGAAGTGCTTCGAAAATTAATAATTCCGCTAATCTATCCAGCATCATAAATGAATAAATAAATAACTTATAATTATACTTTTTTCTTCATTCTAAAACATTTTTTTATTTTTTTATCTTTTACTTTTTATAATCGGTGTGTCCGGTTCCGTCCCAACTAATTCATGGGATCCGAATCGAATAAAGTTTAAATTATATCCAAATCGTAACCTCTAAAGAATTGATCGCTCTCGAAAAATTTAAATTTAAGACTTAATATTTTTCAAGTTAAACAAAATATTTGATAGTTGTTTTTGTAATTTTAAAAAATTATTTTTAACATTAAATAACAAAATTAAATTTGTTATTTTTATAGTTGGTTTAAGGGGTCAGAATTTTCTAAAACAGATTAAAAATTTATGGTCAAAATTTGAAAGTGGTTTTTGAAATTAGCTTCTTCTTTTCGTTTTTTTTTTTTTTTTTATACCGCACAAACTTACGTGTGACCCTAACAAATTGTTTGAGACGAAATGGTAGAAAAATAAAAAAAGGAAAAAAATTATCCCATCAGGACATCACCAACTTTACCGAACCACCCATTTTCTCTCTTCTTCACACTCTCTCTCTCTACGCGATATGCGCTCGCCGCTCACTCTTTCTATCTAACCAGAGCGATCTACACACTTTCTATCTAACCAGGGTGATCTAAACTCTTTCTCTTGCCGAGCGATCTGCACTTTCTCTCTCTAACCAGATGATTCTCTCTCCATCTCAGTGAAAAAGGGCGATTTGCTCCTCTTATTTACACGTACAAACCTAGAACAACCGCTAAAGATGTCAGAGCTTCCGGCGGAAGTAACCGCCGACGTACTATCAAGGTTACCGGTGAAATCCCTTCTGAGGTTTAGGTGCGTATCCAGACCATGGTGTGCCCTGATCGACAGCAAACATTTCATCAAATCGCATCTGAATCGATCCATCGAAGCCAGCAGCACCAATCTCAGCATCATACTTGTATATGGTAATGATATCTACTCTATGGACTTCGACTCGTTCGATCGTGCTATAAAGCTTAATCACCCCTTGGAGTCCACACACAATTTGAAAGTATTGGGCTCTTGTAATGGCTTGCTCTGTCTGTCTGAAACTGAGGATGAACACATTGTGCTGTGGAACCCTTGGACCCGGAAGCACCAGAAGATACCGGTTTCACCCATCGAGTTTCCGGGTAAGTTACCGGTAGGACCCATCGGGTTCCCGCGTAAGTTACCATATTTATCACCATTTGCACCACCAGCACCACGTATATTTGGCACTTGCGAGTTTATTGTTTATGGGTTTGGGTATGATTGTGTGAGTGACGACTACAAGTTGGTGAGGATGGTACAGTTTTTTGGCTATAGTGTTAATTCGTTCTATTCTGAAGTTAAGGTTTACAGTCTGAAAGCGAATTCGTGGCGAAGGATTCAAGGCTTCCCTTATTACCTCCGACACCACGGAGTGAATGGTGTGCTTGTTAGTGGGGCTTTGCACTGGGTTGTGAGTCCAAGAGCCAAATCGAACTCGGCCGATATGATTGCTGCTTTTGATCTTGGGGTTGAGAAATATAGGTTGTTGCCAGGGTCTGATCGTATGACGGTGTATAATGATTATCATATGAATGTGAGGGTGTTAGGAGGATGCCTTTGTTTAATTTGCCATTATGATGGGGAGGTTGATATATGGGTGATGAAAGAGTATGGAGTAAAGGAATCTTGGACTAAATTGTTCTCTGTTGAGCTGCGAAGTGTATTTAGGTGTTCTGTTTCTGTGAGGCCTCTAGTATATTCAAAGAGTGGTGGGGAAGTGCTCCTGGCCCATGACAATATCAAGCTTCTTTGGTTCGATTTGAAAAGGAAAACTTTCAAGAATGCTTGGATTCATGGTGTGCCAAGTTCATTTGAGGCTGAAATTTGTTTGGGAAGTCTAGTTCCGCTCCCCAGTGATGGTGGATGTGATGGGAAGAAGCAGCAAGCACAAAAGAAGAAGGATAGAAAGGAAAGGTAACCCCAAATTAATTTTTTTGTGCTCTTTTTGCTCTGCCTATATTATCTTACTTGGCATTGTTAGTTACAGAAATTTGGACCCTTTAAATGACATGCTAGTATAGAAATTTGGCACAATGTTAAGATTGTTCTATTCTGACCTGGAGGTCATGGTATAGAAATTTGGCACAATGTTAAGATTGCTCTATTGTGACCTAGAGGTCACGAGTTCAAAATATGGAAACAACCTCTCTGGTAAGGCTGCCTTCATCTGACCCTCCCCAAACCTTGCAATGGCGGGAGTCTGGTTCACTAGGTTTGTCCTTTAATTAGAGTTGGTCTCTTTAATATCTGTGGATCTTAAATGACTACAATTAGTGTAATTAATTACGGTGCAACTGTTAAAGGTTGTATTGACTTCTCATTCTCTAGCAGTAAATTTACCTAGAGCTGAGGATTATATAATTATATTGCCTTTGTTTCTGTATGTTGATGTCACTTAAACCTTACATGCTGTATTTTGATTCTCTTAGAGATGACTTCCTGTCAAAGGGGTTCAAGCTGGCGCTTTAAGCAACTGGAAGAAGAAACTAATTTGGAGCGAGAAGGTGGAAAGGTAGGTCATTAGATTTTGGCAGCATTTTTTGAATTAAAGCCCAGTAGAGTTGGTATCTGTCTTTAAACTTGTTTATGTTGGCTAGTTCAAGTGTAATGCTATTCTGTCTTTTACGTAATATTCTACCCAGACCAACGGGCAGTGGCCTAGCGGTACCAGACCCTTACTTTCCAAAGGGAGGTAAGGGGTTTGAACCTCGGTGGAGGCACGTGTGTATGATTATCAACTAGGAAAAAAAATAAAAAATTTCTACCCAACTAGTTTGGGAAAAGATTTGAGATTGAGTAATTAATGCTATAGAGATGGGCATATGAGATAAAAGAATAATTTTATACAATGTTAGTTGTACAACCTAATCGATCATGTTGCTCCCCTCAAGTATATAATATGAAAAATCTCGCTTCTCTCAGGATTGATGTTGGACCTGCAGTTGTTGGAAATCTTATAAAGTTTGTGGATGGAAGAAAAGAAAAAAGAGTTTTAAGGATGTTTTTCATAATATGTTGTGTGAATTTTTTTTTTTTTTTTTTTTTTTTTGTTTGTTTGTGTAAAGTCAAGTTATGTAGTAGTTTAAAAGATTTCATCTTTTTTGTCTGTTGAAAGGTATATTTACTATAGTTGTAAGAATTGGAACCTTATGTTGTTGAATATTTCCATCTTTACTTGTATTGCAGCTTCTTAAGTTTGTTCATTTTTTCATTGGTCTAATTTTCTAATGATGTTTGATTTACATGAGGGTGTGAAACAATGTCAAGAGACAATAATAGCTTTTTTATGGTATGAATGAAGGTCTGTTGTTATTGTGTCTCATAAGTTTATTTTTACATGGTTTTGTGATAAGCGAATGGGAATGTCCGATTCTGGATTGACGAACTGCCAATAATGAGTCTTTGTTTATAGGAGTAAAGTTATAAATTCAATATTTTTGACTTGGCGCAAATAGGATTTCTCTAATCATTGGACTTTAGCAAACAACATTTTTCAGAATTTTAATTTATTTCTTTGGCATCGAAATGTTTTCTGAATTCATGAATACCAAAATATTTCATTTGATTTTCTATTGTTCTGTTTGAATTTGAATTATCTTCGTATCCTTTTATGGTTAAATGATAACGAACTTGTAAAATTGCAAATTCTTTTCCCCATATTTTTGTGTAACAACTAGCAATAGAAAAAATACAGCTATAAGATTTATTCACATTGATTTATTGTGCCCTTCGATGGAGAATGGAGCATGGCCTGAGAGCTTGGAGTGCATATGACTAGCACTTGCTATTGGAGACGTGGGAAAGATAGATAGAATTAGGAAATTTTGTTTATTTATTTATTATATATTATTATTATTTTAATAATGTTTTAATTTTAGGATATTTTAGTTATTTGATGTCTTAGGATTTTATTTTTGATAGTAAATTGGATTAGGTTTTTCCTTGGCGCTTGTATATATGTGGCTTGTGGTAATGAGAAGACGTTTTATTTTGATTATTGAATATTGAATTGAGTGATTACAAATTGTAGCAGTTCCCAAAACAAACCCTATTCCCCAAAACCTATCAGTCCTATCCACTCATCGGAACACTAACACGCATTGTCCCAAAACGCTAAAACCACCGATACTACCACCCACTAAAACACTAGCCATATCCACCATCTGCAACAAACCACAACATACAAGTCAAATCCCAAGTCCACAACCCTTCATCTGACGCCCAAGTTGAAAACCATTGTAAAACCCAAACCCGAACATCTAACAAATCCAATCTAAGCAACCCAATCACAGAACCCTAGATAGCCTGACGCTCTTGCCCACCTTCTGCCACTGTATCATCCTGCTGCCAAAAGTGACATCATCACCACCACGTCGTCGTGTCTCATCGTTAAAACTGAGCCCTGTGCCGTCGTCTGCTTGCCGTTCTTCATCGCTGTAATTGCAGTAAGCATCTCATTATCTTCTAGCTTCTCTGTCGTTATTCTGGTTCATCTCTCTTGACCAGTGGTCGGTCTCGTTGTTGGAGTGTCTTTGGTGCCTCGTCGTCACTGTATCATTCTCATTGTCGATCATTTAGCCGTTGCTGCTTTTGTTTCTACTGTGGCCTTGAGGGTTCTTCTGTTAAATGATTTGGGAAAGCCAAGCATTGGGTTTTATACACCAAGGTCAACCTGACTCGGCCGTATCTTTAAAAAATATATATGTATATATATATATATATGCAGTAGCCCTGATTTGGATAAGATCAGATATTTCTCTTGGCTCAGTAGTTTTGCTCCAGCCCAACCCAAAATCACATCTATCTTTGTTTGGGTATGAGTTCAGTATCAGTCCAGTTCTGGAACCAGCCCAGAACTGAACTAATCCAGCCAGTTCAGTAGGGTGCAATAGTAACCAAGTTCAGGAAAAAAAAGAAAAGAAAAGAAAATCTTTATTTCAGTTCATGTGTCTACTTTGAGTAACCTTCAACATTTGGGAGGTACTTTGGACTTCGATGAGGTACACATACTTTAATTCAAAAGTTTGTGATTAGTAATTTTATCTATTCGGTTAGTAGAGAAATTTTGCAAAAAGGTCCACTGAACCCAAGAGACCATTGAACCCACTTATCATCATCAATTGGTCCTTTATTTCTTCTCAATACCTATTATATTTTGTCTTTGCTGTCACAATATCCATTTTTATCTTTATTATCTATTTCACTTGAAAATTGCACCTAAATACCTGCTTACCGTGCATGAATTTTGGCATAAGCATTTTAATTGCATTCGGATGTCGTACTTGTGTCTTGTGCTAGTTTATAATTTGGTTCACTTATTTCAATTTGAGTCATATGTCGGCATTATCCTTAACTCTGAAGTCCTTCAGAGAGAGAGAGAGCCAATATTATATACATAATTGATTCCATGCTCAACTTCGGAGTTTATCCCATATCTAAAATCTGTTCTCAACCCAGGAACAAAATGTTTGAAGCTTGGATATAAGCATTTCATTTCGGATTAATTAACATTACGTTTAATAATAATACTTAATCAATTATACTAGAAGCTTTAATCAAATTAGGATTTTAACCAGAATGAATATACATAGACCCAAGTTATATTCCAGTAATACTAGGTTACAATTTACAAAACTTGGACTTAAATTTGTTAGTCTCAGACCTCTACTTAGTTTGACAACAAAACTATCATTGGGTGCAATCGCTACACAATTTATATGTTCTAAGGGATCCATGAGAAATTATAATCATATAGTGTTACAATTTAATCGATTAATAAGATTATCAAATGAATTGTAATTACAATTGAAATCTTAATATGCAACATTCAAAACACAAAAATAGTGTAGCTGCTAAATGTTATTTGTTAATCTCAAGTTTTCACACCAAGAGTAACCTGGTAGTTTTGATGATAACAACCTATTAATGTGGGAATTTAATATTCTATTCGAGTGAGGTGAATTGTAGGATATTCTTTATAAACTCAAGTAATTCAAGATCAAAGGCCTTGGACTTCCAAAAAAACTCACAAGAAGATTCAAGTTCATGAAGTCACATGACCATTGAACTTAAAGCTCAAAGATCTAAGATCAATGGCAAAGTTGAAGTGGATCCAAGCCTTGAGATGTTTGACCCAAAAGCTCAAGATTGAATATCAAGATTTGGGTAGGATAGTCTTGGGCTATGTTACATGGACTCTTCAAAAGTAATGAAATACCCGTGGGCCGTGTCGGACACCTATTGCTTGGACATGGCTATGGGATACGTGTCCCACACTTTTGGTTGGACATGTAGTTAAAAATCATATCTAGTCATTCAATTATATTATTACTTTAAAATGAGTTAAATGCCTATATTGAACATTTTATTAGATAAAAACATTACTTTACTCTTGAAAATAAAATAAAATAATTAATAAAATAAATATTTAGCCATGTCCGTGTGTCCTTCTGTTTGGAGATTTGACACGCCCGACACATAGATGCATACCCATGTCCATGTAACATAGGTCTTGGGTGAGTGTTAGTATTAAATGTAAAGTTATTTTTGAAGTAACGTCATTTGAAAACTCAACCCTTGACCTAGTGGACACTAGGACCTAGTGCACTCCATGCATATTATTTTAAATGGTCCCTAGACTCTTAATGATAGGCCTTGGTCTTAATTGAACAATACTTTAAGGTCATAGTTGCTAGCAGAGTGACTTTGGTTCAAATCAGTCTACTTAGTCTCATGACCTAATCACGCTTAAAAATTGATAGCTTTCAGTGTAGTTAGAATTTTTAACTGAGACCAATCCCATTGGAAAGTAGACTTCAAGAGCCTCAACTTGGACACAAATTTGGCGTGATTTGGATTTTAAATGAATAAGTTATGGCCTTCCAGAGTTAGTCCACTATCGCAGGGTCTTATAGGCATCCATAAGATTCGACAGACGTCTACGCCTTCACGTTTTGGGCATTTACTGAAAGTGAACTTTTTCAGAATGACCAACAGACGTCTATAGTCTTCAGGAGAGATGTCTATGCCTTCATATTTTACAAAAAGGCAGATTTAAAAACCCCTAAATGGTCATAAGCAGCTATATTATCAAATGGGTTATATATACCCAATGTCTTGGACATTTTTGGGTGTGCAAGAGAGCTAGAGAGAGACGTACCATTGGTCATACATTTGAATACCTGTGGTAGGCAAGATGTACCATGCAGTTTAGATTTGAATATCATTTGGTAGAACTTCTCTCTCGTAGGAACCACCATTGTGCCTAATCTCTCATATGATACATTGTGGTTCATCTTGCAAACCTAGAGTTGAGTTTTCTCTTGAATACGTCATCTATAGATCTGAGCTTGTATTGAAATTGAGGGATTTATGTTGTTGTACTTTGTTGAAGGATATATATATTAAAGTTGCACCTACTCTAATAGCTTAAGCTTTTAGAGTAGATGATTGTTAACATGGTATCAGAGCCAAAGGTCTTGAGTCCAAACCTCATTGTCACCCTAATTAAAATTGAAAAACACGTGTTGGACCAAAGAGAAGGCCACACTTAAGGGGGCGTGTTGAAGGATATAAATATTGAAGTTGCACCCTCTCTAATAGCTAAAGCTTTTGAAGTAGATGGTTAACATACTTCAACTTTCGTCTATCTATTGAGATCATTGCAAGGGTTTGCTCTTTAGCCCAGAAGAGTGGATTCTCTCTTAGCCTGAAAAGAGAGGGTTTGCTCTTGAGCCCAGAAAAGGAGCATGTAAGGGTTTTCTCTTCACCAGCGAAGGAGAAGTGAGCTAGTGGATTTGAAAATCCTCAAGAAGTGCTCTTGAGGCATGGATGTAGGCAGGAGTGCCGAACCAGGTAAATACTAGGTGTCCTTTGGGTATCCATTTCACTACCCTTATCTCTCTTTACTTTTACTTGTTATGCTTACACTTCATAGGTATTTTGTTACATCTAGCTTAGCCATTTTTTACACGAACACCAAGTGTTTGATGACTTTCTTGTGAACTTTAAAATTATTATTTTATTCATGACATTTGCATTTAATATTTGTGAAAGGGATTTGCATCCCTTGGACGCTTTGGTTGGAATCCAGTTTAGGTCCACCCAATCCATCCAAGGGAAGCGAACCCCTTTAGCTAGCTTATTTGCTTTCTTTCTTCGATTTAAAAATACGTAATTTTTATTGAATTAACTCTTGAGAATATTGCCCAGTTGGCTATTGTGTAGAGCACTGATGTATTTTTTTTTTTTGATAGATTTTAATTTTTTAATTTTATTTTATAGAGCACTGATGTGTTTAATCGAGTTACATTTACAACTGCCTAGGCCAGTATTAAGTTCTCACCTTCTAACAGTGTACATTTACCAATGGAAAAAGCTATGACAAGGACACTCTCATTCCCATTCATTGGATCAAGTTTGCTTTGATGCCATGAGCTGGTTCCAATCGAGTTTGCTTTGATGCCACATGCGTGTTCCAATGGATGTGAGTGTGACTTGTGAGTTCATGGCAAGAGCGCCATCATTATAGATTTCTCTTTACCATTAGGCGACGAAAGCTGGTGCTTTAAGCAACTGGAAGAGGAAAGGAGTGAGAAGGTGCAGTTGTAGGGTAATATATTTTGGTAGCATCTTTCACATCAATACTTTGTTGAGTAGGTCTCTGTCTTTTGCTTTAACTTGATTATACGGCCGAGTTTAACTTTAATGGTATTCCATCCGATAGATGACGTGATAATCCTAGAAACAGGAGATGGGATTGATAATCAAAGGAGAAGATCCGTTTTATACTTTGTCTGCTCTTTCATGTTGCTCGACGAAAATTTGTGTCCATCTCCGGGAGTCAAGATTGATGCTGAACCGATGGGGCAGTAATAGGGCATTTTAGAATGTTTGGGGATGGAAGGAAGGAAAGAAGATCAAAGATTTTGTCTCACAATATGTGGTCATACTGTTTGTGTTGAAACAGTTTTCTTATAGTTAAAACATCTCATCGTTTTAGGTACCGCGGTTTTGAGAGATTTCACTTCAAATGCTTGCTTGCATAAGCTTGATAATTTTTTGTGAGTTTAATTTTCACTGATGAATATGAATTTAAATGAGGTGTAAAGCAGTGTGCATTCAAGTTTATCATTACTTTGTATCTCATAAATTTGTTTTTGCTGGGTTTTATGGTAGGGGAAATGTGAATGGTCTTTTGTGGAATGGTGAACTCTCCATGGTGAGTATTTGTTTACCTAAGAATGATTATAAATTCATAAATTTGTATTGACTTTTTGGCTTGGCCAGAATTGGATTTATCACATCATCAAGCTTTTAGTAGACAAGTTTTCTTTAAAAAAAATTCATTAATTTGTTTGACATAAACATTGTTTCCGATTTTTTTGGCAATTTATTTTCTTTTTCAACTTTTATCTCTCTCTTTTTTTTGTTAAATGATTGACAAACTTGGTTTTTTAACCAGAAACAAGTCTGGTCATGCAATCAAATCTGACCCTCATTAATATGAGTTGTAATTCATTGTATTTTTTTCAAATCTGACCCTCATTAATATGAGTTGTAATTCACTGTATTTTTTTCAAATCTGACCCTCATTAATATGAGTTGTAATTCATTGTATTTTTTAAAATATGAATAGAGCATTCTAAGTTATTTTTGACTAAGATAACAAAGTCTTTAATTAATAAGAAATAAATAATATTTTTTTAAAAATATAACTAAATATTAGATTGATAGAATTTAAATGAATATAAATATAGGATTAATTATTTACTAAAAATCTATATAAAAATTAGAAGAAAAAAAATAAAAAAGGTTTAAGTCTCTACTTTTGTTGTTGTTTTTGCAATTCCTACAATTTATCCTCTTGAAGTTAACCGGGGATATAGATCGATGTTCAAATATAAAATAGAAAGTATTCTAGACGAAACGTATGGGTAACTCATTGATATACTTATCATTTTTGTAACTAATGAACAATTTTATTTTATTTTTATTTGCTTAATGAAGATCACTGACGTTGGATTGTTTTGAATGTTACTTGTTATTGCATGTCATCTCAACTATTGAATGGTTAGTAATTTTTCACCTTTTCTATTAACAAATTGGATTTATTTAATTATTGATATGACTTTTATTGGTAAATTCAAACAATCGGGAATTACAAATTATAAAATAATTTAAATTCGTTGGAAATTTCTAAATGTGGTTTTGATCTTGCATCATACTAATATTGTTTATATCTGTTCTTGAAATACCAATTAACAATTTAATATTGAAACTAAAATTTTCAAATTTAAATTTTTTACTTTACTCCTTATCAAGCAATTTATCATTTTTTTTTTTTTTTTTTTAATCACGTGGAATCGCACGGGTTGTTTCGTAGTGTGTGTATACATATATAAATTATATATGAACCCCATTTCATATAGGGTTAAAATTGTGCCCAATATCATCATTCAGAATATGCATTGATACATCTTTCAATTACTGGCAATTGCAAATAAAGTATGGTGAGAACTATTTAAATTCTTCTATTTAATACTTGAAACATTATTTGATAAAAATGAAATTCAAAAGGTGCAAGCTATTTAAATTCTTTTATTAAATAAATAAAATAGTATTTGATAAAAACATAAAAAATCAATCAATATTAAGTATTTTGTAATTGTTGGAAAAATTCAAAGGGACATTCAAAATGTTCAAGTATTTAAATTCTCATTATTTTCCACACACACACACACACACACACACACACACATATATATATATATATATAAAAGCACATTTAATACAATTTTAATTTAATGAAAGGAAAAACTTTATTTTTTTAGTTTTGTACTTTAAAAAATTTTATATAAATTCTCAATATTATGGGAACGATTCATAACTGTTGGGAAAATTCAAAGGGTAATTCAAAAGGTGCAAACTATTTAAAATCTTCCATTGAATATTTAAAATATTATTTGATAAAAAATTAAGGGAAATTTAAAAGGTGCAACCTATTTAACTTCTTCTATTAAATACATAAAATATTATCATAGTCTATTACCATGCCAGGTTCATATAAATTCAGATGGCGTTGAAGAAACACTAAATCACAAAGTCACAGTAAGCCAAAGGATGAAATTAGGGATCGCCAAAAAAGTAGTCTCATACAATTTTGCGGCAAACATTCGAAGGACTTAAAAAGGTATTTCAATGGTTTAATTTTCGATCAAGAAAGACCGATCCTCAAATGAAGTGGCAAATAGACTAACTACGGCTATGCTATATGTGGCGAAGTGGGGGCAAGCCGAACACCAAAAAGTAGCCTCGAACCTTAAGAGTCCGACGGTATCAAAAAATATATCCTCAGACCTCAAGAGTTCGAAGGTATCAAAAAACAAAATTTCCTCTAAGGCACAAAGAGCTGCCGAGGAATAAAATTCGTCCTTTGATCTCAAGAGTCCGAGAACTTCAAAATTCCTCTAAGGCACAAAGAGGCTATCGAGGAATAAAATTCGTCTTCGGATCTCAAGAGTTCGAGGACCTCAAAATTCCTCTAAGGCACAAAGAGCTGCTGAGAAATAAAATTTGTCTTCGGGTTTCAAGAGTCCGAAGAACTAAAATTCCTCTAAAATACAAAGAGTTGCCGAGTAATATACATTCGTCTTCCGATCTCAAGAGTCTGAAGGCCTAAAATTCCTCTAAGGCACAAAAGAGTGTCGAGGAACAAAATTACATGAAAATTATCTCGAACTCAAAGAAGTCGAAGGTTAAATTTTTATATAAAATCCTCTAAGGCACAAAAGAGTGCCGAGGAACAAAACTTACATGAAAGTTACCTACATCACCGCTATCAAGGCATATTGTCCCAGCTTTTCAAGTGACTTGAACTTTTGGTTCATTGCGGTTAATCAATACAATTCATTACACTAGATACGATTAATTCCCTTTAGTTATGATTGTCAAATCAAACTAAAGGGAATTAGGGGCAAAGTGTGAGGGAAAAAATCTCCCCTTCCAATTAGGACAAGACACATCAACACATAAGGGGACCACCACAAATAGTGAGACTATTTAACCTTCAAATTAGGCCTCTACAAGAAGCTTGGGCCGGGTTAACTAAGCATAGTAGGCTGAACTCATTAAAAAGGCCAGAGATGATGAGACCCCAAACCCAATTACGAATATATTACTAAGCCCATTTTTAGTAATAGTTTTATTAGAAGAATGATTATAATATATGGAAACCAAATAATGTAAATCCTTATTATAAGCATAGTATAATGTGATTTAGACTCTTAAGGGACAAGTAACGCGATTCCTAAGAGGTCTCGATTAGGGTTTTTCTTATATAAAAAGGGCTTAAGACCCTCAATAAAAAGAGAGAAAAAAGGGCAAAGCCCCCAAAAAAGAGATCCAATTCTCATCGCTAGAACTACGTTCCGACCTGATTCCCACCTCTATGAGGCAGGAAAGGTAGCCTATCTAGGTATCCTAAGTTCGGTCATATCATCAAAATACCCCCTACCTCCCCCCCCCCCCCCCCCCCCTCCCCCTTATAATTTCTCTAGTTCTCGTTTCTTTTCTCCATTATTATTTTGGGTGTAGTAATTGCAGAGATTTTGTTGACTTGTCAAAGTCGAACGAATTTTTGCACCTATAAAAAAGTTCAATCTATTTAAATTCTACCATCTGATACTTGAATCTTATTTGATAAAAAAAAAAAAATAAATATCAATCAATATTGTAGAAGTAAGTTGTAATTGTGGAGAAAATTCAAAAAGGACATTTAAAAGGTGCAAGCTATTTAAATTTTTAATATTCTCCATAGTAATATATAGAGTACTGATCTCTTGCTCCCCATGGAGCAAGAAAAATCTTCCGCACTTTTTATAGTGACCATTAGATTAAATCTAATGGTCACATTCCAAACCCACTTAAATATTTTCCTTTTAATATAAAACCACTATCATTATTTCTACTTTCCAATTTAATATTTACCAATACAATTAATTATAACAATAAAAGGTAAGTACTAAAAAAATAAAAATAATGATAGTATAATAATAGCAGTATTAAAGAAAATACTAAAAAAAACAACTAATTTACAAAAGAAATATGAAATTTCATATAATAATAACATGTTTTGTCGTGAATCTTATCCTTATGTCAATAAATTTTTGTTATTATAGTATAATTAGAAAAAAATATATTGTGCGACAGAAAAATAGATTGAATTTCTAGTTTTAAATAACATGTATTTGGGGAGGTATACAATAATTTAAATTATAATCTATTAAATTTTTTATGGGTGAAGTTTTTGCAAATCATAGATTACACTAAGTTGATCAAGTGGATAAAAAAATAGAGATTTTATTTTTAATTTTTAATTTTATTTTTTAGTCGATGTTTCATTGTTTTGTATGTCAATAGTGTAAATTTTAATTTATTTTGCATACTCAAACAGACAATGTCAACTTTAGTATTGGTGAGACGTGATTTCAAAAGGTGAAGAGATTTCTATTTTTATTTTTTTAGTAATTACTTTTTATTGTTATAATTAATTGTATTGGTAAATATTAAATTTGGAAACTATAAATAATGATAGTGGTTTTGTATTAAAAGGAAAAAGTATAGGTAGGTTTAGAATGTGACCATTAGATTTAATCTAATGGTTATTATAAAAAGTGCGGAAGAATTTTCTTACTCCATGGGGAACAAGAGATCACTACTCTCTCTCTCTATATATATATATATATATATATATATAAACACATTAAATGAAAACACTTTTAATTCATGAAAGGAAAAATTTATTATTTTATTTTTGCATTTTAAAAAGGATAAATTATATTGACTTCCCCTAAGGTTTCGTTAATATAAACTAACATCGGGTTTGTAGTTTCTATTCTTTTTTATATGTATTGTATTTTGTTACAATAAACATGTCTTTTAAGGGTATAATTGGAATTTAAAGGTTATAATATTGCTGACATCAACAGTTTTCATCATTTACCATGTTGACCGTTAACGAAGGAAAGATACGTGTTATTTATGTACAAATCTATGGGAGGTAAATATAATTTGACAAAAAGAAGAGGTTAGAGCATATTGAAGAAACCTCGGGGAGCTCCTTGTAATTTACACTCAAAAAGACGTATTCAAAATCTTAATAATTTGGAAGTGATTTGTAACTGCCAACCCCCACCCACGTACGCATAACATTCAAATGAAAACACTTTTAATTTAATGAAAGGAACAACTTTTTTACTTGATTTTTGTAAT